TTAATAAACGTAAGTTATAGAAGACTTATACTAATAAAACTAATTTGATAACATATAAAGTAAAATTTAATGACCAATAAACACTAAAATATAACCATAGTTTCTCCCGAAGACTGAAGAATAGAATATAAACATTAAAAGTCTATGTGTTAACGCAGCGTTTTAGTGAATAGTTTTAGTGATTCTGCTTTTTCACCTCTACGTTTYGTCCTATTTGCAATTTCCAAATATTATGTATTTATCAAAATCGAATCATCAAGTGTGGATGCACGCAAAAAGCAGTCAGCGAGACTTATACTTGCTGCAGTTAACTCATCATTGTATAAATTTTGGGTCACGGGGTGTTAATGTCTTCTCATATAAAGGAAACTAGGTACAGCAGTCTAACACAGAAAAATGAAAAAAACTCGATTTCTATGTAATATAAATACAATGTAAACGATTGTAATTGGTGATGATGGGAAAAATCTCACCATATACCTTTATACGAATAATAAATCTGCTACCTACGGTGGTTGTGGTAACGATTGACAAGCGCGCACGACGGATTTACGAAACTCCCATAATATTATTATGCAATTCTGTTGTAATATATTAATTTATTATCAATTAAATTTCTACTAACAAAACAACACTATAGGTTGTTTACGTATACTTATGTTATGTATTCGCGTTTATTTAATTTGTTTTTCTCTTCTCGCCCCAATCCACACGACGCACACGTTGTTTGGGATTTTCGAAAGATCAATATACCGTGGGAATTCACTTACACATACTCTGCAGTGGTACCGATCGCAAGTGAGGTAATTATATCGCTGTTGTACTAGGAATGTAGCCATGTAGTTATGGGTACATTATATCAACTATATTTTAATATGAGCTTAGATAAACAGGGTTACCTACTCCGCACTATAGTATAGTAAAASGTGTTTCTACAGTATATACATACGGTATAATAATAATATGTAACCGAGTATTCTGTTGTTGAATATTAGCAAAATTGAGTAAGCTGTTTTTATATTTTCGGTTGAGATTAAAAAAAAAAATTATCCACTTATCGTAATTGTTTGATTTACTGTAACGTAGACGCATAAATAAGTTCAAAGATTTTATAAGCACAAGTAATTTTAATTTAAGTAATTAGTTAAAAGTGTAATAGTATTGTTGATTTTTGGTTAGCTGTATATCTATAACACTATTAACACTCCTGTGTGTGTAATTGTTTATTGAAGTTTTGTTGAAAGCTAAAGAATATGTCATAAATTCATAAGCAAATAATAAAAAAATTATTAATATTATTTACGTGATACGAGTGTACGGACGCCATGCGCACTCTGTGGAGCGTTAAAGTCTCCAATGATTATTTTAATATACACAGTCTTCCAAAAACGTCTCTTTGTCAATGTCTCAATCGGAKATAAATTTAATTATATTTAGATAATATACGTAAATGCGTTACCTGTAAGTATTTGACGACTTTACAAGCAATCGGGCCGGCTGACCAGGTGACGGTTGTTCTCCATATCATGTCGATCATAACGCTCACCAGTCCCACCAACAAGTCTATATTCGGGAA